GAGTCTGTGAGGGGCGAGGGGCGTGTCCCGGGGGTGGGGGAGTCCGTGAGGGGCGAGGGCCGTGTCCCGGGGGTGGGGGAGTCTGTGAGGGGCGAGGGGCGTGTCCGGGGGTGGGGGTGTCTGTGAGGGGCGAGGGGCGTGTCCGGGGGTGGGGGAGTCTGTGAGGGGCGAGGGGCGTGTCCCCGGGGTGGGGGTGTCTGTGAGGGGCGAGGGGCGTGTCCCGGGGGTGGGGGAGTCTGTGAGGGGCGAGGGGCGTGTCCGGGGGTGGGGGTGTCTGTGAGGGGCGAGGGGCGTGTCCCCGGGGTGGGGGTGTCTGTGAGGGGCGAGGGGCGTGTCCCGGGGGTGGGTGTGTCTGTGAGGGGCGAGGGGCGTGTCCGGGGGTGGGGGTGTCTGTGAGGGGCGAGGGGCGTGTCCCGGGGGTGGGGGAGTCTGTGAGGGGCGAGGGGCGTGTCCGGGGGTGGGGAGTCTGTGAGGGGCGAGGGGCGTGTCCCGGGGGTGGGGGAGTCTGTGAGGGGCGAGGGGCGTGTCCGGGGGTGGGGGTGTCTGTGAGGGGCGAGGGGCGTGTCCGGGGGTGGGGGAGTCTGTGAGGGGCGAGGGGCGTGTCCCGGGGGTGGGGGTGTCTGTGAGGGGCGAGGGGCGTGTCCCGGGGGTGGGGGAGTCTGTGAGGGGCGAGGGGCGTGTCCGGGGGTGGGGGTGTCTGTGAGGGGCGAGGGGCGTGTCCCCGGGGTGGGGGTGTCTGTGAGGGGCGAGGGGCGTGTCCCGGGGGTGGGTGTGTCTGTGAGGGGCGAGGGGCGTGTCCGGGGGTGGGGGTGTCTGTGAGGGGCGAGGGGCGTGTCCCGGGGGTGGGGGAGTCTGTGAGGGGCGAGGGGGCGTGTCCGGGGGTGGGGGTGTCTGTGAGGGGCGAGGGGCGTGTCCGGGGGTGGGGGAGTCTGTGAGGGGCGAGGGGCGTGTCCCGGGGGTGGGGGTGTCTGTGAGGGGCGAGGGGCGTGTCCCGGGGGTGGGGGAGTCTGTGAGGGGCGAGGGGCGTGTCCGGGGGTGGGGGTGTCTGTGAGGGGCGAGGGGCGTGTCCGGGGGTGGGGGAGTCTGTGAGGGGCGAGGGGCGTGTCCGGGGGTGGGGGTGTCTGTGAGGGGCGAGGGGCGTGTCCCGGGGGTGGGGGTGTCTGTGAGGGGCGAGGGGCGTGTCCCGGGGGTGGGGGAGTCTGTGAGGGGCGAGGGGCGTGTCCGGGGGTGGGGGAGTCTGTGAGGGGCGAGGGGCGTGTCCGGGGGTGGGGGAGTCTGTGAGGGGCGAGGGGCGTGTCCCGGGGGTGGGGGAGTCTGTGAGGGGCGAGGGGCGTGTCCGGGGGTGGGGGTGTCTGTGAGGGGCGAGGGGCGTGTCCGGGGGTGGGGGTGTCTGTGAGGGGCGAGGGGCGTGTCCGGGGGTGGGGGTGTCTGTGAGGGGCGAGGGGCGTGTCCCGGGGGTGGGGGTGTCTGTGAGGGGCGAGGGGCGTGTCCCGGGGGTGGGGGTGTCTGTGAGGGGCGAGGGGCGTGTCCGGGGGGTGGGGGTGTCTGTGAGGGGCGAGGGGCGTGTCCGGGGGTGGGGGTGTCTGTGAGGGGCGAGGGGCGTGTCCGGGGGTGGGGGTGTCTGTGAGGGGCGAGGGGCGTGTCCCGGGGGTGGGGGTGTCTGTGAGGGGCGAGGGGCGTGTCCCGGGGGTGGGGGTGTCTGTGAGGGGCGAGGGGCGTGTCCGGGGGTGGGGGTGTCTGTGAGGGGCGAGGGGCGTGTCCCGGGGGTGGGGGTGTCTGTGAGGGGCGAGGGGCGTGTCCGGGGGTGGGGGTGTCTGTGAGGGGCGAGGGGCGTGTCCGGGGGTGGGGGTGTCTGTGAGGGGCGAGGGGCGTGTCCGGGGGTGGGGGTGTCTGTGAGGGGCGAGGGGCGTGTCCCGGGGGTGGGGGTGTCTGTGAGGGGCGAGGGGCGTGTCCCGGGGGTGGGGGTGTCTGTGAGGGGCGAGGGGCGTGTCCCGGGGGTGGGGGTGTCTGTGAGGGGCGAGGGGCGTGTCCCGGGGGTGGGGGTGTCTGTGAGGGGCGAGGGGCGTGTCCGGGGGTGGGGGTGTCTGTGAGGGGCGAGGGGCGTGTCCGGGGGTGGGGGTGTCTGTGAGGGGCGAGGGGCGTGTCCCGGGGGTGGGGGTGTCTGTGAGGGGCGAGGGGCGTGTCCCGGGGGTGGGGGTGTCTGTGAGGGGCGAGGGGCGTGTCCGGGGGTGGGGGAGTCTGTGAGGGGCGAGGGGCGTGTCCGGGGGTGGGGGAGTCTGTGAGGGGCGAGGGGCGTGTCCCGGGGGTGGGGGTGTCTGTGAGGGCCGAGGGGCGTGGTCATCACTGCGGTGGGACCTTGAGGGGCGAGGGGCGTGTCCCGGGGGTGGGGGTGTCTGTGAGGGGCGAGGGGCGTGTCCGGGGGTGGGGGTGTCTGTGAGGGGCGAGGGGCGTGTCCGGGGGGGGGGGTGTCTGTGAGGGCCGAGGGGCGTGTCCGGGGGGTGGGGGTGTCTGTGAGGGCCGAGGGGCGTGGTCATCACTGCGGTGGGACTTGAGGGGCGAGGGGCGTGTCCCGGCCTGAGCGCCTGCGAAGGGCGAGGGGCCCGTGTCCGGAGCGGGCCGCGTGGAGGCTGCACGGCGCGGTTCCCGGCTGAGGGAGGCTGTGAGGCGCCGCGTCCGCTCAGACAGGGGGCGTGGCCTCGGAGCGGCGTCCGCCATCTTGCCGGGCGGAGCTTGGAGGTGGAGGGTCCGGGCCGAGCGGGACTCCCGCCTCTGGCCGCGTCCTCGGCGCTGCGCTCGCCCCGCTTGTGCCGCCGGAAAGCCGGGCGGTGGCGGTCACTTTGGGGTTCGTCCTGAGACGGTCCGGCGATGCGAAGTAAACTCCGGAGGCTCGTTCATTCCACTCGAGGGGCGCCCGGGGCGCCTCTCGGCTCGTGTCTGCACGCCCAGCGCCCCGCAGGGCGTCGGGGAGCCTGGCTCTGCGCGGGCCGCTGCTCAAGCGCGAGTGGCCCGGGGTGCGGATGACGGGTGGCGCCCGGGACAGGGCCGCTGCACCCCAACCGCGCCCTGGACTGCAGGCTTCCTCCCGGTCCGCTCCGGCCTCCACCCGCCGTCCGCAGGCGGCCGGAGGGGACTTTCCTACTGCTGCGCTTTCAACTCTGAGAACGTTCAAATCCACCGGAAGTACTACGAACACCGGAAACCGTTTAGACTCTGCAGTTGTTGACATTGTGCCACACTGACTGTGTCTTTGAATATATTTACTTTTTATTGCTGAAAAGTAATTTGAAAATACCGTTGGACCTTGACGAATAACAGAGATTGCGGGGGGCACTGACCCCCGTGCAGTTGAAAATTGAAGCGTAACTTTTGACTCCCCTAAAATTTGCTAATAGCCTCCTGGTGACTGGAAGGAAGCCTTACGGATAATATAGTCAACACATATTTTTAATATGTATTATATACTCTATCTTAAAAGAAAATGGTATTCAGAAAATCATAAGAGAAAATATAATATTCATTAAGTGAAAGTGGATCATCGTAAAAGTCTTCATCCTCATTGTCTTTACATTGAGTAGGCTGAGGAGGAAGAGGAAAAGGAGGGTTGGTCTTGCAATCTCAAGGTGACTGAGGTGGAAGAAAATCCAATTATAACTGATCCTCGAAGTTCAAACCTGTGTTGTTCCAGGGTTAGCTGCAATTTGCAGACATCATGACACTTCTCCTTAGATACTTCAGCCTGTTTCCTAGCAATACCTTATTTCAACTGAGAAAATTAACAATAATCCCATGGTCACATAACTCTTAATTCTCCAATTGTCTCTAAAATACCTACATAGCTGAATTTTCCCCCTCTAAGTCAGAAGCTAATCAAGGTTGTACGTTGCATTTAATTGTGTCTCGGGGCCGGGCGCGGTGGCTCAAGCCTGTAATCCCAGCACTTTGGGAGGCCGAGGTGGGCAAATCACGAGGTCAAGAGATCGAGACCATCCTGGCCAACATGGTGAAACCCCGTCTCTACTAAAAATACAAAAAATTAGCTGGGCATGGTGGCGCGTGCCTGTAATCCCAGCTACTCAGGAGGCTGAGGCAGGAGAATTGCCTGAACCCAGGAGGCGGAGGTTGCGGTGAGCCGAGATCGCGCCATTGCACTCCAGCCTGGGTAACGAGAGCGAAACTCCGTCTCAAAAAGAAAACCAAAAACCAGTTTGGCAGTTTCTTAAAACATTAAACATAAGCTTGCCAGGTGACCCAGCAGTCCCACTCCTGTTTACCCAACATAACTGAAAAGTTAGATTCACAAAACAGCCTGTAGTTGATACAGTTTATGCAGGTTTGATCATAGTTGCCTGGCCAGGCATGGTGGCTCATGCCTGTAATCCCAGCACTTTGGGAGCCTGAGCCAGATTGATCTCCTGAGGTTGGGAGTTTGAAACCAGCTTGACCAACATGGAGAAACCCTGTCTCTACTAAAAATACAAAATTAGCTGGGTGTGGTGGCAGGCACCTGTAATCCCAGCTACTTGGGAGGCAGAGGCAGGAGAATCTCTTGAATCCGGGAAGTAGAGGTTGTGGTGAGCCAAAATCACGCCACTGCCCTCCAGCCTGGGTGACAAGATAGAAACTCCACCTCAAAAAAATAAGAGACCAAATAATCATAGTTGTCCATACTGAAAATGTCCTAATATCCTTCCATGGGTGAGTGGATAAACACCTGGTTCCATCCATGCACTGGAACGCTCCTCAGAGTAAAAAGGCACTCTACACAGGCACTATGGAGGACTCCAATACGTCACGTTCAGTTAGAGAAGCCACGTGCGAACAAGCTGCACACTGTGATTCTGGAAATCAGGCAACGGGAGAAAACAGACCAGTGGTTTCCACAGACAGGGGTTGAGGAGGGCTGACCACAAGAGTGCACAAAGGAATTCTGGTGGTGATGAAGGTGTCCAGTATCTGGAATGTGGTGCCAGAACTGTATGTTTTTGTCAAAGCCCACAGAACTATAAAAAGAGTAAATTTTATTGTTTATAAATTATGCTTCAACAAACCTGCCTTTTAACAAATTTTATCAGTAATTATAGTTTTCAAAAGTAGAGATACTTGGCAGACAGCTACGTTATCGACCTCTAAGGTCCCTCTCTCTGCCAAACTGCAGAGCTCCTTAGGACCAAAACCAAACCAACTTTTATTTTACAAATGCAAAAACTGGGACTCCAAGCAAGGAAGAAACATCTACCTGCAGTTCCTCTGGGGGTTGGTGGGAGAGACAGTGGAGAGAATAAGGCTGAGTCCTCACAACAGGCAAAAGTTCTCTGTACCACACCTGGAGGCAGGTATATGGGACTGAAAGTGGATGTTCTTAGCCACAAGCCTGGGCCTGGATAGGAAACAAGGGTGAGTCCGGAAGGATGTCAGGTAGGGTAGATCCAGAGCACCAGCTAGGTTCACTTCTCACACCCTCCATCCATTTGTGATGAGTATCCGGACACAGAACCACACGGTTCAACTCCTGAGCATGGCAGTAACCTTTACACTGTCTGATTTCCCAGAGTGAACTCTCTTGTGTTTATTTCCAGATTTAATGACTTTAATAGTCATCTGAACTATTTGTTACTCTGCCAGTAATATTTAGACCTTATTTATCTTTCATTATGCCATCCTATCTAATGTAAAATGAACAGTTGCTAAACTGTCTTCTGCATTTGCTGAATAAGGCTGGAACAGTTGCTGAATAAGGCTGGAACTGAAGGCCTTCCCACAGTGACTGCATTCACGGGGCTTCTCTCCAGTGTGAATTCTCTGATGCTCAGTTAACTGGGGGCTCTGGCTAAAGACTCTTCCACGTTAAAATTAAAAATGTCTCTCTTGGAAAATCTTTTTGATATGAATAAAGTATCTTTTAGATCCGTCATTTAAATTAGGTTTCTCTCCAACATGAGTCTGCTGATGTGGTGTGAGTTGTGAACTCTGGCTGAAGGCTTTCCCACACATACTGCCATGACATGGTTTCCCACCAGTGTGAGTTGCCTGATGTTGAATATGGGTTGAATTCCCACTGAAGGCTTTTCTACATTCTTGACATTTATAGGGCTTTTCCCCAGTATGCATTTGGTGATCTTCAGTGGGTTGTGAGGTGGGACTGAAAGCTTTTCCACATTCATTATATCCAAAGGATTTCTCACCAGTGTGAATTGTCCAGCGTAGAATGAGGTTTGCACCACGATTAAAGGCTCTGCTCTGTTTCTCTCCAGTGGGAATCTGTCCGTCTGGTGTAAGGCTGGAACCATGAACAAAGGCTGGACCACGTTTCCTGCACTTGCGAGTCTCTCCACTGTGAATTTTCTGATGCTGAGTGAGGGTTGACCTCCGGCTGAAGGCCTTCCCACAGGCACCACATTCATAGGGTTTCTCTCCAGTGTGAACTCGCTGGTGTAGGGTGAGTTGGGAGCTTTGGCTGAAAGCTTTCCCACATTCAATGCATTGGTAGGGCTTCTCCCCAGTGTGAACTCTTCGATGCTGAACAAGAGTGGAACTCCGACTAAAGGCTTTGCCGCACTCATTACAAACATAGGGTTTTTCTCCTGTGTGAATCCTTACATGTTCAGTAAGATGCGAGTTAAAACCAAAGGCTCTACCACATTCATTGCATACATAGGGTTTCTCTCCAGTATGAACTCTATGATGGAGAAAAAGGCTTGAGCTTTGACTGAAGGCCTTCCCACACTGATTGCATTTATGGGGCTTCTCTCCAGTGTGAATTCTCTCATGCTGAACAAGGCTGGAACTCCGACTGAAGGCCTTCCCACAGTGACTGCATTCATGGGGCTTCTCTCCAGTGTGAATTCGCTGATGCTGAGTTAACTGGGGGCTCTGGCTAAAGGCCCTTCCACATTCATTACATTTGTAGGGTTTCTCTCCTGTGTGAATTATCCGATGTTGAATAAGAGTTGAGCTTCGACTGAAAGCCTTCCCACACTCACCACACCCAAAGGGTTTCTCTCCAGTGTGAATTCTCCGATGAAGACGGAGGTGAGAATTGAGTCCGAACGTTTTCCCACATTCATCACATTTAAATGGTTTATCTCCAGTGTGAATGTGATGGTGCAGAACGAGGTTTGAGCTGTGAGTAAAGGCTCGCCCACATCGGCCACATTCGTATGGCTTCTCCCCAGTGTGACTTCTCTGATGTCTACTTAGGTCTGAATTATATTTGAAGGTTTTGCTGCATATATCACATTTAAAGACCCTCTCTCTTGTTTTACTTCTTTGAAGTCTAACATTTTGGTTCAGATTCAAGTTTCTATCAAATGCACTACACTCTTGGGTTCTTTCTCCCAAAGATCTTTCCCTGTCCACGGTAGCTTCTGTTAAAACTCCCTTGTGAATACTGGGTTTGTTCAAACTCTGCCAGGCAGAATTTCCCAGGTTGTCTTCCAGTTTGTCCCCAGGGCCCCATACTTCCTGACATTCAGCTGCCTGTGCATTATTCCTTAAGAGTCTTCTTGATACAAATTCTGGGGTTTTTGTTTCTTCAGAAAATTTTTGGTTTAAAATAGATAGTTCCTTCTTGGTCCCAACCTCGGAATCTGTTAAAGAAAAACACAAAGAGTTACTTAAGAAAACCCTCCATCAGGGATAATGTCCATGATGTGTCAGAAGCTCCTATCAACCATCATGCAGAAGGCAGATGCTCCGATAGCAAAACATGAAAGGCGGAATTCAAAAGTAAAGATGGCCAATCAACAGAATAAAAATATTCAAGTTCATTAGTTATCAAAGTAGTCAAATCAAAACAAATTATGATTTTTCACCATAAAATGGGCAAATTAATCTATTCAACAAATATTTAGAAGACTAGGCATGTTCTAGGTAAGGAATATACAGGAAGATAAATACAGTTTCTGATCTCATGAAGTTTATGTTCTACTCAGGTAGACAGCAAGTAAGTTCTTAAAAATAATGATAAACCATATGACAAAAACTGTGCAAATGTGTGTAAATGTGTTATTGGCCCCAACCCAGTCTACATGGTCAGAAAAAATTCCGGGAGTGAGGTTCAAGCTGAAACCTGACAAAGGAAATAAGTTAGCAGTGGCAGACAGGCCTGGGCCCTGGTTGTGATGCACAAAAATATCAATCAAGTTCCTGACTCAAAGAATCTGGGCCAGACGCGGTGGCTCACATGTGTAATCTCAGTTGAGGGGGGCCAAGGCAGGAGGGCTGCTTGGAGCCAGGAGTTCAAGACCAGCCTGGGCAACATAAGGAGACCCTATCAATACAAAAAGAAAAAAATTTTTAATTAGCGGGGTGTGGTGGTGCATGCCTATGGTCCCAGCTATTCAGAAGACTGAGGTGTAAGGATTGCCTGAGCCTAGGAGGTCAAGGCTGTGGTAAGCCATGATGGTGCTACTGCACTCCAGTCTGGGCAACAGAATGATACCCTGTCTCAAAAAAAAAAAAAAAAAAAAAAAAAGAACCTCACTGCTTGGTGCACTGGCTCACAACTATAATTTCGGCACTTTGGGAGTCTGAGGCAGGAAAAGCGACTGAGGCCAGGAGTTCAAGACTGCAGTGAGCTAGAATCACGCCACTGCTCTCCAGCCTGGGTGACAGAGTTAAACTGTCTCTATTGTTTTTTTAATCTCACCATTGCTACAGCTAGAAGAACGGGGGAAGAGTGGGGCAAGATGAGGCAAGGTAAAGACACAGGAGGCACTGCAAAGAGGTTGAGAAGTTTGGGCTTTATGATACAGACTTAAAAATAGCCGGGCGCGGTGGCTCAAGCCTGTAATCCCAGCACTTTGGGAGGCCGAGGCGGGTGGATCACGAGGTCGAGAGATCGAGACCATCCTGGTCAACATGGTGAAACCCCGTCTCTACTAAAGATACAAAAAATTAGCTGGGCATGGTGGCACGTGCCTGTAATCCCAGCTACTCAGGAGGCTGAGACAGGAGAATTGCCTGAACCCAGGAGGCGGAGGTTGCGGTGAGCCGAGATCGCGCCATTGCACTCCAGCCTGGGTAACAAGAGCGAAACTCCATCTCAAAAAAAAATAAAATGAAATAAAAAAAATAAAATAAAAATAAAAAAATAAAATGATGCTGAGCATTGGTAAGAATTAAAGCAACAAGCATGCCATTTACTGTTGGTGGGACTGTACATAAATGACTTCTTTGAGACAGGGTCTTGCTCTGTTGCCCAGGTTGGAGTGCAGTGGTGCAACCACAGTTCACTGCAGCCTTGACCTCCCTGGCTCAAGCAATCTTCCTGCCTTAGCCTCCCAAGTAGCTGGGACTACAGGTGCAAGCCACTGTGCCTAGCCAAAATATAACTTTTTTTAACAAGTGGCAGTATTGAGCAAAAAAATTGGTATTTCACATATCCTTTGTCCTCCAAACTACTCCCCTAGGATTTATCCTAAGTGGACTGCCATATGTACATGGAAATGACTGACTGCAATGATGCCCACTGCATTTTGTAATCATGGGGAAACAAGGAAGCCCCCCAAATGTCCAAAAACGGGGCTTTTTTTTTTCTGAGATGGAGTTTCACTCTGTCACCCAGGCTGGAGTGCAATGGCACAATCTCGGCTCACTGCAACCTCTGCCTCCTGGGTTCAAGTGATTGTCCTCAGTCTCCTGAGTAGCTGGGATTACAGGTGCTCACTACCATGCCAGGCTAATTTTTTGTATTTTTAGTACAGATGGGGTTTCACCATGTTGGTCAGGCTGGTCTCGAACTCCTGACCTTGTGATCCACCCTCCTTGGCCTCCCAAAGTGATAGGATTACAGGTGTGAGCCACTGCGCCCAGCCTGGGGGGCTGTTTAAACCAATTAAAGACCATTCACATAATGGAATACCATTCTACCATTATTATAATAGAAAGATATAATTAAATAAAAAGCTTATATTACAAAGTGAAGAATCAGGTTCTAAAATTATATAAACAGCATAACCCAACTTTTATTGAACATATATATGTAAGATAGTTGCTATTTCTTCCTTAAGTGCTTAGTATAAGTTGATGAAGCCACCTGGGCTTGTCATTTTCTCTAAGGAAGGATTTTAAATTATGAGTCAATGTATTTAGCACTTAAAGAATTACGTATTAACCTTTTCTTGGTCAGTTTTGATAAAGTTATTTTTCTAGGGTATTTATACATTTTATCTCAATGTTCAAAATATTTGGCATAATTGTGCTCAAAGTATCTTCCCCCCACCATTTTTCTTTATTTATTTATTTTTCTTCTAGGTCGGCATGTATTTTCTTTTCTTTTTTTTTTTTTTTAGACGGAGTTTCGCTCGTTACCCAGGCTGGAGTGCAATGGCGCGATCTCGGCTCACCGCAACCTCCGCCTCCTGGGTTCAGGCAATTCTCCTGCCTCGGCCTCCTGAGTAGCTGGGATTACAGGCACGCACCACCATGCCCAGCTAATTTTTTGTATTTTTAGTAGAGACGGGGTTTCACCATGTTGACCGGGATGGTCTCGATCTCTCGACCTCGTGATCCACCCGCCTCGGCCTCCCAAAGTGCTGGGATTACAGGCTTGAGCCACCGCGCCCGGCCGTATTTTCTTTTTTTAAAACACAGGGCTTGCTCTGTTGCCAAGGTGGAGTACAGTGGTGTGATCATAGCTTACTGCTGCCTTGAACTCTTGAGATCAAGTGCTCCTCCTACTTCGGGCTCCCAAGTAGCTGGGACGACAGGTGTGCATCATTAGGAAGGATGCCCAGATCATTCCTAATTTTGTTTGTAGAGACAGGGTCTCACTATGTTGCCAGGCTTGTCTCCAACTCCTGATCTCAAGCAATCCTCCTGCTTTGGCCTCCCAAACACTGGGATTACAGGTGTAAGTCACTGCACCTAGCCCAAAATATGTTTTTATTATGGTCTGAAGTATCTAGGTGGTGGCACCCTTTTTGTTTTGGTTATTTGTTCATTCTCTGTTTTATTCTTCATCGGTTACATCCAGAAAACAGAAAGAGATGATGCATGTTCCAACAGTGTATGTGAGGTTAATTCATCTTTGATACCAAAATTTGACAACAGTATGAGAAAACAAAATGGAAGGCCAACCTCACCCCAATTACGGATGTGAAATCCCTAAACAAAACATTAAGAAGCCAAATCTAGTCATATATGTAACAGGGATAACACATCATGAACAAGTCGGTTTAGCCCAAGAACGCAAAGGTAGGCTGGGTGTGGTGGCTCACAGCAGTAATCCCAGCACTTCGGGAGGCCAAGGTGGGCAGATTGCTTGAGGCCAGGAGCCCGAGACCAGCCTGGCCAACACGGCAAAGCTCCATCTCTACTTAAAAAAAACAAAAAAATTAGCGAGGTGTGGTGGCACACTCCTATAATCCCAGCTACTCAGAGGCTGAGGCAGGAAAATCGCTTGAACTGGGAGGTGGAAGTAGCAGTGAGCCAAGACTGGGTTATTGCACTGCACCCTGGGCGACAGAGTGAGACTCTGTCTCAATAATAATAAAGACTGTTAGAAAACTCGGCCAGGCATGGTGGTCCACACCTGCCTACCTACTCAGGAGGCTGAGGTGGGAGGATTACTTGAGCCCCAGAGTTTGACATTACAGTGAGCTATGGTGTGCCACTGCACTCTAGTATGGGCAACAGAGTGAGACCCTGCCTCTGAAAAAATTTTTTTTTTTTAGTGAAAGAGCCGAAACATAAGAGTATATGCTGTAAAATTCTATTTGTAAAAAGTTCAAAACTCAGGCCGGGCGCGGTGGCTGAAGCCTGTAATCCCAGCACTTTGGGAGGCCGAGGCAGGTGGATCATGAGGTGAAGAGATCGAGACCATCCCGGTCAACATGGTGAAACCCCGTCTCTACTAAAAATACAAAACATTAGCTGGGCATGGTGGTGCGTGCCTGTAATCCCAGCTACTCAGGAGGCTGAGGCAGGAGAATTGCCTGAACCCAGGAGGCGGAGGTTGCGGTGAGCCAAGATCGCGCCATTGCACTCCAGCCTGGGTAACAAGAGCGAAACTCTGTCTCAAAAAAAAAAAAAAAAAAAAAAAAAAAAAAATTAACCAGGTGTGGTGGCACGTGCCTCTAGTCCCAGCTACTCAAGAGGCAGGCTGAGTCAGGAGAATTGCTTCAACCCGGTGGGGGTTATAGTGAGCTGAGTGAGATTGTGCCACTGCACTCCAGCCTGGGTGACAGAGTGAGACTCTGTCTCAAAACAAAACAAACAAAACGAAAACATTGATAAAATAGTACTTAAGACTGGGAGTGGTGGCTCACACCTGTAATCCCAGCACTTTGGGAGGCCAAGGCAGGTGGATCATGAGGTCAGGATATCGAGACCATCCTGGCCATGGAGAAACCCCATCTCTACTAAAATATAAAAATTAGCTGGGCGTGGTGATGCGCACCTGTAGTCTCAGCTACTCAGGAGGCTGAGGCTGGGGAATCGCTTGAATCCAGGAGACGGAGGTTGCAGTGAGCCAAGATAGTGCCACTGCACTCCAGCCTGGCAAAAGGGCAAGACTTCGTCTAAATAAAGTTATATATATATATATATATATATATACACACACACACACATATATATATATAAA